CAAGATTCGACATCCGTTTTGCGGGTCGGTTGCGGGTTTGGGTAACAGACCTAAGTCCACGGGTTTAAATATTTTCAAGTCCAACTCACTTCAGACCTAGTCCAGCCCAAGATCTAGACTAGACCTGGTCTAGCCCAAGATCTAAACCAAACCAGGTCCAACCTAAGATCCAGAACAAACCGGGTCCAGCCCAAGTTCCAGACTAGACCGGTTCAAGACCAGTTCAATTCTAGCTTGATTCACTCTAAGCTAGTTCAAGTAGTTTTGCACCAGCTCGGACTGACTCCTTTTGTTGTTGCTCTGGCTCAACGTTCCAGCCCATTTCTCTAGTCCAGTTTAGTTAAGTTTGGCATCGGTTTAGTCCGGTTCTATTAGTTTTCACGTTGGTTATGTAGTTCAGTGAGCTCAGCCAGCCCGATTTAGCGATCAAGCTTGTTTTTCCAGTCCGGTCCAGTGAAGTCCTTCAGTCCGGTTCGGCGATCTAGTGGCCTTCTCTTGTCTGCTCAGTAGTCTAGCTGCTACCTCTTGCTCCGTTTAGTTGTCCAGTAGTAAGGCTCTTGCTCCTGTTTATTATTTGTTGTATTATTATGGAACCTAAGCAAGATGTTATTACTCCATCTTTGTCACCTACCTCTACTTCTCCGGTTCTTCTTAATGGTCCTATGACTTTCGTTAAACTAAGTGGGACCAATTATACTTTATAGTCTTGCTCGTTCAAGTCTTTCTTTGAGGCAAAGGTTTTAAGAAATATTTGGTCAATCCCAAACCTAAAGAAGATACTTCTAGGTATGATCAGTGGGAACAAGAAGACGCTCAGATTATCTCTTTACTGTTGAATAGCATTGAGCCTAGTATTAGCTTTACTCAGCTCTATCTTGACATTGTCAAAGACATATGGGATCACTTGACCACTATGTATTCTGGTACAGATAATTTTACTTTGAGTCTTGAAGATTATTTCTCTCATGTTCGGGGAGTCTGTGAGGAGTTAAAGCTCTACCATCTGTTCACTACTGATACAGTAGTTTGACAGAAGTAACATGAGGATTTGAATGTTGTTAGATTTTTTGGTAGGATTGAAACCTGAATATGAGGCTATTTGCTCTCAGATTTTGGGTGATTCTAGTCTTCCCTCTCTACTTAAGGTTTTCTCTCGTTTACAGCATGTTACTTTGTCTACTCCTTTAGGTATTGATCATAGTGTCTCCACTGATCCATGGTTTAAAGTCGCAGTATCGGTCATCAACTCGGAGGGCACTGATACACATCGATCGCAGCGTTGCATCGCGGTATCGGCCGATACACTCAAAATGCAAGATAGAAGCTCCAAAAAAATTTAAAAAAATTATAGAAAATTCTAAAAATTTAAACATCATCATTCATGCATCATAGTAAACAACTTGAAAAAAAAAAACAAGCAGCCAGAAAAAATAGGAAAAAAAACACAGCCTATAAGAATTGAACCTATGACTCCTAGATTAGTAACCTTAATCTATACCACTTGACCTATTACTTTTATGTTATTTTAAAGGCAAATATAAATATTTAAAGACTCAGTAAAAAAAATGCCCTACTTTTTAAGTCAGTTTGTTCTTTTTCCCCACTTATTTGCATAGTCGTTTGTGCTGCCAGTCATAACGATAGAGAGAGAGGAGACAGAGTTACAGAGAGAACCAGTCCTATCGTCACACAACAACAGCGAAACTCACTACCAACGACGATTCTTTGCCTATCGTCACAGCACCGAAGAAGATCGTCACAATAAAGGAGACAGAAGAACCAAAGAAAAAACAGAAGAAGAAGATGCAAATTATAGACCCTATTTGGTTTGATCTACAGGTATGTCATAAATCCTTAGTCATCTTGGTTTTTATAGTTGAAAAATAGGGGTTTAGGTTATCAATTTCATGTGAAAATACGGATTTTCACTGGCTTTTTCGTCTCGGAATGATTCTGGTAGGAATCGTCCGAGTTAAACCGATTTCTTTTGATTTCGGCTGATACATACGAGTTGCACCGAGATATCGGCGATATGTGATCAATGAGCTATTTTCCCGTATCGCATACTGTTATCGTATCGACACTGGCCGAGTCGTATCGGACTCGGCCGATATCTTGAACCATGACTGATCGCTCAGTTCTTGTGGTTCATAGTAGCTACAGTGATGGTCATTGAGGTGGACGTGATAATCGTGGAGGTCATCCAAGAGGTCGTATGGGTGGTCATGGGGGCTATAGTGGACGTCGTTCCTGTACTCACTGTGGTCGTGGAGGGCACACTGTTGATTTTTGTTGTTCTAGATGAATATTTTTTGATATTTTTGGAGTGATATTGCTCTCACTGCTTATAATTTTATTAATCGTATGCCATATTCTGTGTTAAATGGGCAAAATTCATATTCTGTCATTTTCCTTGATAAGTCCTTATTTTTCTTAATTCTTAGGATTTTTGGGTGTGTCTATTATGTTCACAACTTAGGCCATGAGTTTGATAAACTTGACCTAATGGTAAGCTCTGATTTTCCTTAATTCCTAAGGTTTTTGGGTGTGTCTATTATGTTCACAACTTGGGTCATGGGTTTGATAAACTTGACATTCAGGCTACCAAATGTGTATTTCTTGGATACTCTCACACACAGAAAGGGTATCGTTATTATAATTCTTCCTTGCGACGATACTTTACTAGTGCCGATGTCATGTTTGAAGAATTTGTTCCATATTTTTAGCACCTGCTCAGCCTTTGGATCTGGACTTTGGGTAGTCTCTTGTAACACCACCTCTTTCCTCACCATTAGATATTCCGCTACCTATTATGCTACCATCTACTTTATCTCTTCGTGTATACTCTCGTCGTCCTCGACCATTGATTGAGGTGCTTATACCATTTTTCTTGCCGTCTTCTGATCCTAGTACATTAGGTAATTTAGAATCTTTACTTATTGCTCTTCGAAAAGATACTCGTTCGTGTGTTACTAATCATCCCATTGCTCATTTTGTTTCATATAATGCATTGTCTCCTGTCTTCTCTTGTTTTACCTCTCAATTATCTACTATATCTATTCCTAAGTACTTACAGGATGCGTTATCTGATCTAGGTTAGAGGAAAAGTATAGAGGGGGAGATGGATGCCTTATATCATAATGAGACTTGAGATCTTGTTCCTTTACCTTCTGGTAAATAAACTGTTGGTTGTTGATGGGTGTATACTGTTAAATTTCATCCGGATAGTTTTGTGGAGTGTCTTAAAGCCTGGTTTGTTGCAAAAGACTTTACTCAGACCTATAGTGTTGATTATGAGGAGATTTTCTCTCCTATTGCCAAAATCTCCTCTGTTCGTATCTTGATTTCTTTGGCTGCTAATCTTGATTGACCTTTGTTTCAGTTAGATGTTAAGATTGCCTTCTTACATGGTCACTTGGTTGAAGATGTATACATGGAGCAGTCACCAGAGTTTACTGTTCAGGGGAATAATGGTAAGAGTATTTGTCAATTAAAGAAATCTTTGTATGGTTTGACGCAGTCACCGAGGGTATGATTTGGTAAGTTTTCAAATACAATTTTAGAGTTTGGTCTTTTTCAATGTCAGACATACCATTCTGTGTTTCATAGACAGACGGATATCGGATATGTTTTATTGGTGGTCTATGTAGATGATATTGTGATTACTAAAAATGATTCTGAGAGGATTGTCAAGTTAAAAGCTTCCAGCAAGACCAATTTCATATTAAAGATTTGAAAAAATTCAGGTATTTCTTGGGTATTGAAGTGACTCGATCTAGACAGGGTATATGTATTTGACATGCTAGAGAAGAAGGTTTGCTGGGTGGCAAGCCAATTGATATTGCTATGGATTCGAATCAGAAACTGTTGATGGATGATGGTGCATTGTTTGATCAGAAATTGTTGATGGATGATGGTGCACTGTTTGAGAATCCGAGTTGGTATCGTAGATTGGTTAGGAAGTTCAATTATCTCACTATTACTCGATCAGATATTTCCTATGCAGTTAATATAGTAAGTCAGTTTATGGGGTGTCCTAGAGCACCACAGTGGGAGACAGTTACTCGTATTCTGCAATATCTCAAACGTGCTCCTGGCCTTGGGTTGTTATATCGAGCTAATGGACATCTTAGAGTAGAAGGTTTCTTAGATACTGATTGGGTTGACTCTCCTTTTGATCAGAGATCAACCACTGATTATTGTACTTTCTTAGGAGGTAACGTTGTCTTATGGAAAAGTAAGAAACAACTTGTGGTAGCGAGATCCAGTGCTGAGGCTAAGTATAGGGTAATGACGCATACGATGAGTGAGTTGACTTGACTATTACACTTCCTCTAGGAAATTGTATTTCTAGTTTAACCTCTTTTACAGTTGTTCTGTGACAACCAGACAACTATCCATATTCTGCTAATCCAGTGTTTCACGAGAGAACCAAATATATTGGGACTGATTATTATTTTATTCGAGACAAGATAGTAGCCAGAGAAATTACGACTCTATTTGTGAAATCTAAAGATCAGCTTGCAGATATGTTTACCAAAGTATTAAGTTGTACACGTCTTACAATAATTTGTTCTAAACTTGGATTATATGATATATATAGTCCAGCTTGAGGGAGAGTGTTAAGAGTATTAGGGTGTGTTTGGGTAGTGGGTTAAGGTGGGTCAACACCCATAAAGATAGGTTATTAAGACAGTGGGTCCCATAAATCCATTGTTTGGAAAGTATTTTTTGAGGCTAGATAACAAACCCGGGTCAAGCCTCGACCCAGTTGCTACAGTACAAATTAACCTTCCTACATGGGTTAAAATTAACCCTCCCCCTAGGTTTAAATCCCAACTAGATAAGCTGGGTAATTACTTGTCTACCCCTCTCTTTATTTTTTCACACTCGTTTCAAGGCTATGAAGGCGACGAAGACTGTGAAGGTGAGAGGCTGTGAAGGCGATGAATACTTCTTGGCTGTTGGTCTCTGGTAAGTCTCTCTCTGTGTGGACCGAGATGGAAACAAATCTGGCTCACTGTGGAGATTCAGATCTGCTCGATCTCATGGCCGATGGAGATCCAGATCTATTTGCCCCTCTCTTTCTCCTGTCACTCTCATCCAAACATCACTGTGAGAGCTCGTCCAAGGTCTATTGCACAGAGGCGATGAAGAAGACGGAAAGTGAAGAGCCTTTGTCTACCGAAGCTTGCTTGACGAAATAGTCGATCAAATAATTTTCTTACTTCAATATCCATCTTTCAAAATCTTTGTTGTTACACAGACTATATATGTGTGTGTGTGTGCAGAGAAGAAAACTAAGCTTCAACTTTGCCTCTCTGTGTATTTATATATTTATATAGGTTGCTTTTCTGTGTGCTTGCTTCAACCAGGTGTTTTGAGGGGTCTCGTGTATATATCCAAACAAAGGATAGGATTGAATTAGATCGGATAGAGTCATGGGTAAAATAGTTAATTATTATAAAAATTTTGGTATAATTTATGGGGCCTACACAATTACACATTTGTTCCCAAACAAAGGGTTGGATTGGATATATTCTTTAACTGTGGATTTAAAGTGGATAAGTGAGTTTGAGTTGGATGGGTTAGGATATAAAAAAAGAAATCCTATCTTATCCTACCCCACTACCCAAACACACCCTTAGAGTATTATGTGTAAATATTAGAGGGTATGTTCGTCTTTTGTATTATTATAAGTTAACTATAAATACAAGTGATTTGTGAGAGGTAGGTTAAGTTTTGACCCCTTTTCTTCTTTCTCTAATATTGTGTTAATTCTCTTAACTTAACAAAAGACAAAGTTGAAATGTCTTTTTCAGGCTTAGTTGAAAAAAAAAGAGGACAAGGAACATAACTTATTGATGTCAAAACCAATTCTAATTCTAGTACCATGTGTAATTGCTGGTTCAACGTTAAATTCAGCTTCTAAGAAAGCCTAAAACATAGGAGAAAACCTTTGCGTAATGTCATGTGTCGTATTTGTACCCATAGTGCTCAAAGTTAAAGTTATCTAGTATCTTTGCTAAGATATGGAAAGTTAAGCAATTTTTGATCTACATCTTCCCTTACATTCTTCTGAATAATGCTTAATAAAGGACACTGCAATTTGATGATGGTTATTTACAGAGGTAGCTTGGTTAATGTTTCTGGAGAATCTTATGGAAGACAAGCAATTGAATTTTAACCAACCACTTCTTTCTGTGAGGCGCGTCTCGTCAACAGTGGCCTCAGAAAAAGATGTTAAAAGGAAAACACGTAATCCCCACTGCAATATACCTCCTGTTCCTTCTTACGAATCAGAGTTGAAATCAGGTCCAGTGACCAACCCAGGTGTTGTTCCATTTATCTGGGAACAGACCCCTGGAAGACCAAAGGATGAAAGCAAACCACAAACTCATGCTATTGATCGACCTCCCATTGTCCCAAAGCTCCCTCCTGGGAGGATTTTGACAGCTAAACAATGGCATTCTGATAATGTTCCCGAAGATGAAAGGGTCACCAAGCATCAAGGAGGAAAAGTACCTTCTGGTTCACAGCGCGTTCCATCTTTGGATGAAAATGTAACTAAACTGGAAAGTTCCACAGATATAATGGAGGCGAAGGAAAGCTCTGAGTCAGGGGATGATGAGGAAACATATTTAGATGCACGTGATACACTATCACGAACTGAATCATTCTTCTTGAACTGTAGTGTAAGTGGTTTAAGTGGATACGATGGTCCAGATGTTAAACCATCTGGAACTTTTTCGACTGATCCACAAACTCGAGACTTTATNCCCTTTTCTTCTTTCTCTAATATTGTGTTAATTCTCTTAACTTAACAAAAGACAAAGTTGAAATGTCTTTTTCAGGCTTAGTTGAAAAAAAAAGAGGACAAGGAACATAACTTATTGATGTCAAAACCAATTCTAATTCTAGTACCATGTGTAATTGCTGGTTCAACGTTAAATTCAGCTTCTAAGAAAGCCTAAAACATAGGAGAAAACCTTTGCGTAATGTCATGTGTCGTATTTGTACCCATAGTGCTCAAAGTTAAAGTTATCTAGTATCTTTGCTAAGATATGGAAAGTTAAGCAATTTTTGATCTACATCTTCCCTTACATTCTTCTGAATAATGCTTAATAAAGGACACTGCAATTTGATGATGGTTATTTACAGAGGTAGCTTGGTTAATGTTTCTGGAGAATCTTATGGAAGACAAGCAATTGAATTTTAACCAACCACTTCTTTCTGTGAGGCGCGTCTCGTCAACAGTGGCCTCAGAAAAAGATGTTAAAAGGAAAACACGTAATCCCCACTGCAATATACCTCCTGTTCCTTCTTACGAATCAGAGTTGAAATCAGGTCCAGTGACCAACCCAGGTGTTGTTCCATTTATCTGGGAACAGACCCCTGGAAGACCAAAGGATGAAAGCAAACCACAAACTCATGCTATTGATCGACCTCCCATTGTCCCAAAGCTCCCTCCTGGGAGGATTTTGACAGCTAAACAATGGCATTCTGATAATGTTCCCGAAGATGAAAGGGTCACCAAGCATCAAGGAGGAAAAGTACCTTCTGGTTCACAGCGCGTTCCATCTTTGGATGAAAATGTAACTAAACTGGAAAGTTCCACAGATATAATGGAGGCGAAGGAAAGCTCTGAGTCAGGGGATGATGAGGAAACATATTTAGATGCACGTGATACACTATCACGAACTGAATCATTCTTCTTGAACTGTAGTGTAAGTGGTTTAAGTGGATACGATGGTCCAGATGTTAAACCATCTGGAACTTTTTCGACTGATCCACAAACTCGAGACTTTATGATGGGACGGTTTCTACCCGCAGCCAAGGCAATGGCTTCAGAAACACCTCAATATGCTCCCAGGAAACCTTTGGTTTGGGAGCAACCAAGACAGGTGAAGAAGCTAACCACTGGGAATAAGCCCACTCAACTTCGATACGGGCCTAACATTTTACCACACTATGCCCAAGATAATGAGGAAGAAGAAAGTGATGATGGCTATGATGACCATGCAAAATTATCAGCCAAAGTTTGTGGGTTAGTACCCCGGTTTTGCTTAAAAGGTTCATTTGGCCTATTAAATCAAGTACCAGGGATGAGTGTGAGGACCCGCGTACCCATGTCTCCTGTCAGTAGAACACATCCTCGATCTTCATCATCTGGTTCTTATGGTGAAACTGAGAATGAGGTAGCTACCTTCAAATCTCCTACTTTACATTCTTTTCTTTTCTGCTGACATTGTCCTAACCTTGGGATATGGTTGTTGTTGAGTAATTGCAACTTTTAATTTTTCAGCACACCAGGGTTACTATTTACGAGCAAAGATCAGTCGATGGACTTGAAACAACTGTGTTGCTGGAAGATCAGAACATCTTGAAGAACGAGTCTGACCAAATTGCTTACCAGAAAAATTCTCAAAAATTGGATGGATCATCCCTGTACAGGCGTTTGCAGGGTAGTGGCTTGTCACCCCACTGTGATGAGTTACCTCAATCCCCCTTTCTTGGCGTTCCCAGAGAAGCACGTAATACTGCAGTCAGTGGTCTGAGTTCACATAACAAAGACCGTAACTTTCGGGAATTATTGGCTGATAGGAGCATCAATCAAGAAACAGACTCGGCAAGTCCTACGGTTGAGAAAACCCTTTATGTAGATATTGTACATAAGGTGGAATCTCCAAATTTGGATTTATGTTCTTCGCACATGAAAGAGCTTCCCAGTTTGAGAGAAAATGACTTTGAGATTCTTTCAAACAGTAAGGGAATGGAAGAAACTCAGTCAGCAGATTCATCAGTTAGGGATATTGAGAACTTGACTATTGTGCATGAACAGTCAACAACACATCCCAAATTTCAGAAATCTGCTGATCTGCTATCTTCCGCTGACAAATTAGATCAGGAAGCGGTAATGGAACTGGAGGTTTTCAAACCAGCTCAAGACCTCTGCCAGGTTTCAATTACCTCAGAGAATTTCAAAGTACCTCGCAGTGTAAACCCAGATTTTGAAGTTCAGCACCCTCAGAAAGATGACATATTTGAAAACTCTTATGGAAGCTACTCAGAATTTCCTGCGCCCCCACCTTTACCAAAATCTCCATCAGATTCTTGGCTTTGGCGTACTTTGCCTTCCATGTCCTCAAAAAAGTTAAACCAGGCTAACAAGAGATTGTCTGTTGATCCCAAGTGGGAAACAACAGTTAAAACTACCAAGGTGCAAAACCAGCATGTACGATTTTCTGAGGTAAGCTAATTCATTCCTTATCTCTACAAGGGCGAAAACTGAGCTGCACTCACAATTATACCCATTCTGGCAGGAACTAAGGGCGCCTATACCAGAAACTCCATAGAAGCCTCTTCTATAATGAAATCTTTCATCGCATCCATATGCTATGGCTAGCAAATCCATTTCTTCAACGGGTAAACTGTGATAAGTATATACTTTTCCTTTTTCTTATAATCATTGTGGATGTGTTTGGTCTTTTGGTCAATGGGGTTAGAATGGGGTTGTAACTGTAACTTTTGATGCCCATTTCATATCCTGCAATTATGAATCTGCAAATTATAAAACTGTTTGTAAAGGCCATTAAATTTATTGAACTTCAAGTTTATCCTTTCCATGTAGTTATGGATTAGAAGAGAGAATCATAAACAATGATTGTCAATAAGAGTGAGCAGTTATTTTGAATTTTTCTTTTTTTTTAATCTGCATTACATTATGATAGATTGTTATATAGATTGAACATCTGCTGGTTATATGTTAGTAGGGTTTAATTGTTTGTGATAAGAGAAAACCATTTCTGCTCATTCATTTTGTAAAAAAATAGTGAACGAGACAGATAAGGAATTTTGAACTGCTAATGAAAAGGGATAGGATGAATAGTTAGGGGATTGAATGGGCTTTTGTGGGATAAACGGACTTTTCCAAAGAGAAGGCAGAGAAAAAGCTGGATATTTGTTTATGCATGTTGTCTGTATCTCCACCTGTATAATCATACATAATCACAAGGAAATTTTGATGTGCTAAATGAACAGGGGTGAGAACTATGGGGCTTCCATTTTTTCCCTCCTGAAGAAGTGAGGTGAGATTTGAATGGGATATACTTGTTATGGTGGCATCCTCGTCTCAAAGTTGAAGAGTCCACAGATACGAACGCCTGCTCAGCCAATTAGCTATGACTTACACAGCCAAGATGCCAATTTCAATCTCAAAAGTGGTTAAATCATAGATTGAAGCATTTGCAGTGAAGGCAAACAAATGTGTAACTTTAAATGGCGTATTCAAATAGTCGTCATGTTGAACAAAATGGATTTGTTTGATTGGCTAAGAAGCTAACAATCTCTAGGCACGACTTGGGATTGAGTCTCACCAGTCCTTCTCCTTTCCTTTCGCAAGAGGGTATATAAAAAACCCCTCGTCATTTTCTGTAGTTGAAATGGTTTTTTTGGCTTTTCTCGGACAAATAAACAATAATATATTGTTTCTTTCCGTTTTGCCTAAACGCTTTGTGCTAAACTCATCTGCCCCAACTGTAAAACTAATGACTGACTTTAATTTTCCCTGGAGGCAATGAAATCCCCCATCAATTTAACATCAAGGACAGTCAAATAGAAGAGAATGTTTCCAAAATGTTCGTTTTAAGTTGAAAGTTAGGGGACGCTAGAAAATACTGGATTGTCCTGTGATCATTTGTTTATTTGGTCACATTTCGTTTGGCTTCCATCTTTGACTACTCGCTTCCCAATGTCTCTTTCGGCTACTACAATAATCTATTCCATTGCTCCTGACAATTGCTTGTATTGATTGTTTCATTAGTAATTTGGAGATTTAGATCTCTTTTGGTAGCAGAATAGATCTTACTCCATAAATTAGTGGTTACTCCATGAATTTATTTATCGTTTGCTTACTTTTGGCTTTGGGGTAGATCGACCTTATAAGGTGGATTTTTTTTTCCTCAAACAACCATGACTTTTAAACATAATTCTGTCTCAGCCATGGTTTCTAACTTATTTATGAAATTACTATTGTTATAAAAAATGTGGTTTCAACCTACGCTATTCAGTATAAAATATGTTTAAGGGGATTCTTTTGATCTCAGAATTTGTTCATTGTAATGGCTGGTCAGAGTTGTGATTTGACAACTGAAGGGAATCTTCCTGCAAAAGAAATCAAAGACCAAAGGGACTCCAACAATTGACCTCCGATTGTAAAGTCAAGCGAGAATGGTGGAAAGAAGTTGTATTTAGTTGAAAATAGATTATTTACTTGGATGATGTCTAGCTTGACCTTTATATAGGTTAAAAGATTTGTATCGTTGAAAGATTATCAATAATTATTTGAACGAAGCGACACTAGAAATAAAATAGAAATTGACACCTTCTAGCGTGTATATCTTAATTGGTTTGAATTAGCTGAGGAACTACTGAGCTGGAGTGTTGACGAGCAAGGAGCTAAGGTCCTTATTGAGTCTAGAGCTCGCCCATCAAGCAGCAGAGCTCATGTGCTGAGTTCGAGCCCACGTGTTGAGCTCGAGCCCACGTGCTCAGCTCGTGCCTAATTTATCATCATTAGTTGTTCCTTAATTCAGACCAGTGAATGACATGTATCATTAATTTAACACACTAGTCCGTTAGAATCTGGAAAAGTGAGAATGACTACCATGCACACACAACTGCCAAAGAGCTCTAAAACCTTCTTTCCTGCACTACCCAACACATCTTTGAGAGCTCTAAGAAGTCTGGTACACCCTTGCCTATTCATCTCTATCTCCTCTCATCTTCCTATTTCATTATAACTCTTCACTTTGGAGCATTTGGCTGGAGCCATACCTTTTATGTTCACTTTTATCACTTTTTTTTTTTAGGTGGAAGAGCTTCAATCTTGACCATCTTGAGTCTTTTGTGGGCAAGTCTGTTAGAGCTCGGCTTGAATCTGTACTCGATTTTGCCTTTCTTTAATTGTTAAGAGCCTCAGTTGCCCCTTTCCACCAAATTTGTATATCAATCATCGTAACTTTCCTATTATGATAAGTGATTCTGAGTACATACCTTCTGAAAGCATTCTGGTGTTAGTGGCCTAGGCTAATGCAACCAACGAGGATTTTGACTCCATTATGGAAATTGGCTCTTTGTCTCTCAAGGTCGTTAGAGCCCAAAAACTATCGTAGTTGCCTTGACGCAGACAACCTTCCTGATTCTGTGCACCTTAGGGTCCTGTCTTCTAATGAAGCGACCAACTCTTTTTTGCCCAATGAAGTCTGTTTTTACGAGTCCATCTTTGAAGCTGGACTTCATTTTCCAATGCCCAGATATATCAATGAAACCCTTCACCTTTTGGCCCTTGCTCTTGCTTAATTGACCCTAAGTGTCTAGGGATTCTTGATCCCTGTAGCTAATGGCATCGACATTCAGCCTACCTTTTTCCAAATTCCTACAATGCTATAAACTTACATCTTGCCTTGGGCAAGGTTTGGGGTAGTTCTACCTTGCAAAAAGAGAAGGGTCAAGCTTACTAACGGGCTACTAATCAAATGTGGAAGAGTGGAAGGATAAATTATTCTTTGTCTCTGGGCCTGATTGAGAATTTGGGTCCCCGGAGGCTTCCCAAAGTAAATCTGTTCCAGTTCCTTGTGTATGGGAGTCCTTTACCCTTTATCTTCGTAAGTAGGTTTTCTTTGGTGTATTTCAACACAATTTTTGTTGGATTTTGACCTTCTGCTCTTTTGGAACCCAGGTAAATCAAGGCGCATCTCTAGCCAAAGATCGACATTCCAACTCTTCCCTACTCACTCTTATTGGTGCTTCCTTCTATTTTCCCCTGAATTGAAACTCCAAGTCAAGAAAGCTCTCGACTAACCCACAAAAGATCTCTCCATCCTCATAAATAGTCATGCTCTTTTTGGGTGTCTACTAGGTCCTTCTTCAGCTGCCTTCGATCCTTTTACTATTGCAATCTCCTCTTCTAAAGGTATAGGTTCACCTTGCCACAATTCGTTCTAGCTTGGACATGCTTTAACTCATACCCCCTTATTCTTTTTAGCTATGACTCTCAAATTGGTTGACAAAAAGGCCTTTCAAGAGGTTGCAGCCTCGAAAGCCAGTCCTTCTTCAACTGATTTTCAATTCCCCCCCCCCCCCAAAAAAAAAAAAAAGGAAATTCGTTGAGGCCAATTACTTGCTCAAGCAGTTAAGCTAATAAATCAAGTGGTAACAGTGATGAGTTGTAAGCCCAGACATACTGAGTTTGAATTTCGATAACTCGTTGGAATTAGACAATGAGAGATTTATCCTTTATGAATACCTTAGTCTCAACATGGATGACTTGCCTTTGACCGGATCAAGAAGAAAATTAGTCAAGATGCGCATAAGTTGGTCCGAATACCTCTAACCGCTGAACTAAAAAAAAAATTAAAAAAATTTACTTGCTTAAGCTGATTATTTCTATCATCTATCCAAATCAAGTTTCAAATATAGCTCAAGTCATTTTAGTTCCTTTTTTTTTCTTTTCTTTTTGTGTTACATCAATGTCTCCAACGTGCATGCATTCAGATCAATTAAGCTGAAAAAAATATGCCAGTTACGAATAAAATGAAAATTTCTTTGAATGTAGCAAAACTAAGGGATTGTTTGATAATGTTTTTGTTTTTGTGTTTTCAAAAAAATCAAAAATAGATATAATTTTTGTTTTGTTTTGTGGTAAACATCGAAAACAGAAAACATATTTGAGAGTTATTTGTGTTTATCAAATTACGAGAATAAATATTAATTTTATAGTATCTCATAACCTCATCCTCCTGAATTTGTTCGGTATCCGTTTTCATCTACAACAATTCCCAATGATGACCACTATGCATAAACATATTAATCATAATTTCCATTTAGATCTAACTAACAAATTCACAAATTCACCCACAATATGTTCAACATATCCACAAATTTACCCACAATATACACTCACGCAAACTCTGCTGACTCAACACACACATATAACATTAGCACACACACAGAACACACGTAAGCACAACACACACACAGACTCAACACACACACAGAGATGAGGACAAAAGGGAATTTTTTTAGGGGAAAAAGAAAAAATGAGGGGGGACTATGATGGATCTACACACAAAACACACACAGAGACACACTGACACGCAGAACACAGACTCAGCACACAGAACAACACACAGATCTGAGATGATCGCAGGACCGGGCCAACTTCATTGTATATAAAACTTGGGTTTTAGGCCCCACAATTTGAGAAGGTCCTATAATTTGAGTTATATAATTAACCCATATAAAAATTTTAACTTTACAAAAATATTGAGTCCTATCAAAAGGCCTCAAAAAATTTAAGTTCAATTAAAATTTTTAATTTCACTAATTTGGGCTCATGATTCAACNCAAGCAGTTAAGCTAATAAATCAAGTGGTAACAGTGATGAGTTGTAAGCCCAGACATACTGAGTTTGAATTTCGATAACTCGTTGGAATTAGACAATGAGAGATTTATCCTTTATGAATACCTTAGTCTCAACATGGATGACTTGCCTTTGACCGGATCAAGAAGAAAATTAGTCAAGATGCGCATAAGTTGGTCCGAATACCTCTAACCGCTGAACTAAAAAAAAAATTAAAAAAATTTACTTGCTTAAGCTGATTATTTCTATCATCTATCCAAATCAAGTTTCAAATATAGCTCAAGTCATTTTAGTTCCTTTTTTTTTCTTTTCTTTTTGTGTTACATCAATGTCTCCAACGTGCATGCATTCAGATCAATTAAGCTGAAAAAAATATGCCAGTTACGAATAAAATGAAAATTTCTTTGAATGTAGCAAAACTAAGGGATTGTTTGATAATGTTTTTGTTTTTGTGTTTTCAAAAAAATCAAAAATAGATATAATTTTTGTTTTGTTTTGTGGTAAACATCGAAAACAGAAAACATATTTGAGAGTTATTTGTGTTTATCAAATTACGAGAATAAATATTAATTTTATAGTATCTCATAACCTCATCCTCCTGAATTTGTTCGGTATCCGTTTTCATCTACAACAATTCCCAATGATGACCACTATGCATAAACATATTAATCATAATTTCCATTTAGATCTAACTAACAAATTCACAAATTCACCCACAATATGTTCAACATATCCACAAATTTACCCACAATATACACTCACGCAAACTCTGCTGACTCAACACACACATATAACATTAGCACACACACAGAACACACGTAAGCACAACACACACACAGACTCAACACACACACAGAGATGAGGACAAAAGGGAATTTTTTTAGGGGAAAAAGAAAAAATGAGGGGGGACTATGATGGATCTACACACAAAACACACACAGAGACACACTGACACGCAGAACACAGACTCAGCACACAGAACAACACACAGATCTGAGATGATCGCAGGACCGGGCCAACTTCATTGT